CAAGGACCTTACTTACAGTCTCTTCCAAAAGCATGATTCTTATGGAAGGCATGATTCTTACATCGCCCTTCACTGTCTGAATTGTAACAGCAGTGACTGAGGAAGGGCGGAAAGTATATGAATTAAGACAACAAATTAAGACTGAGTTTTGAAACAATATCCAAATCAGCATAGCTGCCATCTTTTCTCCTAGACTAGTATACAGAACCTACAGTCTCGGGAGTCAAAATTGGAAAGAATGTTCAAAAGCAGCCTCAGTTCCAACACTCCACACTTTGGCGGGAGAAATAATTGTTCTTACTTCTTTTGTTAAATATTTAGCCTTGGAAATACAGTTAATACTACTCTCTACTCATTGTAATCTCTTAATTCCCATTGTCTTCTTTGAGCAAGTGTGTCTCAGTAATCCGTCCATTTAGTAGCCATAACCTGTGATCTCTCCTCGTAATGCCAGTAATCCTTGGATTCCTCCCAGGGCGGAAGGCAGTGACTTTTCAAATCAATGTCTTGTCCTTTTTTCAAACACATCATTTCAATAAAGATAATTCTCTTTACCTGCTTAGAGACTGAAGTATATTTACATCCTCTGTCTATTTCTTTACTATTTCTTTTCTTTAAATGGCTTTCAGAGTCTGCTGATTGATTTTTCCAGCCATTTGATGAAACTGCATTAGTTCAAAAGGAACCAGTACACCACAACCTAGTCCACATTTCAGAAAGTCATAAAGTTTCACTCAGTTGGCAGTTTAAAACTTTTCTGTGTAGGGACACATACCCCACCATACTTACCTCATCCCCAAAAAGGAGAGAAAACAAAACAAAACCAGAATACATGCTGCCTGCAATAGAAAGAGAGAGAGAGATGAGGGGGGGAAGGTGGGGGTGGAGAGAGAGAGAAAAAAAGGGAAGAAAGAAAGAAAGGGAAAAGAAAAGAAAGAAAAGGAAGGAAGAAAGGGAAAGAAAGGAAGAGAAAGAAAGGAAGAAAAAGCATTAATGAGAAAAGGTTATAAGAGTGAATAAAAGGGTGGGAAAAGGTGGGAGATAGTAGACAAAAGTGGTCATTTTTCTTTAAAGAAATTGATGAAAGAGGATATTAAGAATATGGGAGACACAACAGTTAAGGTGAGAGAGGGTAAGCAGATTCCACAACGCTAACAGTCCTAAGTTAACCAATCTTTACTTGGGTCTACCCTGACTGCTAAGTCTAAGAGATTAATTTTAGTGAGAAAATCAGTAATTTCATATAAGATGTAGAAGAAAGTAGATAATGAAGTTCCTGGAGAGAAAGAAAGAAAGAAAAGAAGAAAATAGAAAGAGTGGGAAGCGGGGAGGAAGGGAGGAAGGAAGGAAGGACTGAAGGAAAGAAGGAAGGTAGGAAGAGAGGGAGGAAGGGAGGGAGGGAAAGAGAAGAGCATTAACGTCAAGTAACTAGGAATCAAGGATGTTTAGTGCTTATTTTAACCCCTCAATATTCTTGCTAAGGGATCTTAGGCAAGTCACATGATAACTAAAGTCTCAGAAATAAAATGGAAAATTACATAGTTCTTCTCAAAGGACTTGGAGGTGTTTGGTTTAGTAATAAAAGTGCCAATGCCAACACAGTTCTCCATACATTAACAATATATGAAAGTCTGTTGGAATGATAAGAAAAAGGAAAATATCGCTGATGTATATACAAATACCATGAGGGAAAATAAATAATCTTTCAAAGCTTTAACAGGTAGAAAATTAGAATTAAAGATTCTGATGAATTAAAGTGCCTGCTTGAAAAATCAGATGTGGTGCTTTTACTCTGGCCGACCAATGTGAAAACAGATCGTAGCTCTGGTAATAGTCTCCTTCTAGCACTCAAAGCACCCAAGGCGGGAAATGGAGCTACAACTTAAAGGAGCTGAAGGGAAAACTAATCTCTCTAAGGCAACAGCTCCTTGCCCAGATTCAAAAAGCAGAACTTTCACTCCTAGAAGATTGCTGGTGACCAAATGAGGACCCCCAAGCTACTAGAGTATTCATCAGTCAGAAAAGGAGCAAGAATTCAGGTGTACTTAATGACCCCGTGAAACAGTAATGTTTTTTAAGCCAAGCTGGGGTTTCTGGAGGTGCAGTAAGGACAAACAAATCCAGGCTTTCAAGCTTGTTTGCTGGGCTTTACAGACGACAGAGAAACCGCTATGCCCTCATATTAACAAGTGTTATTTGAGCACCAACTATTAACCAGACTACACTGGGCACCACAAAACCAGCAAGAAATAAAATGGTGTGCACACTCACATTTTTGCGGTATGGAATACGGTGATAAATATATTGTGATAAGAGTTAAAATGAGCATATAAACAAAACACCTAAAGAGCAACAATTTAGTCTTACTTGGGAAGTGAGGGTGGGGTTTTTCTACGCTGTAAGAAGCGCACAAGTGAAAACTATAAAATATAACCACTAACACAGCCCCAGCCCCTTTTATCACTTCAGGAGAAGTCGGGAGAGATATTTCTGAATAACTAGGTCCCTTGTCTCTCAACAAGGGAACTACTAGCATATTGGGTGGGACAATTCATCAATGTACTATTGAGAGCACTGCTGAGTATGCGGCATCCATGGTCCCTGCCCCCTCAATTCCAGCAGCACCCCATCACCCAGTCACTGTGGCAATCAAAAGTTCCCCTGCTCACTTTCAAACACTCAGAGAGGTAGCATCTCTCTCTATTGAGAACCACTCCCCCTTCGCTCCCCTTTTTCTATACTTGTGTTCAAACAATATGAGTATCAATGAACTAAGGTGTCAGAAAACACAAAGACAACTTCAGTTTGATAAGAGCTTTAATCTCAGCTCTACCATTTACAGCTGGGCAAGTTAGTGAGCCTCAGTTTCCTTGTCTGTAAATATAAGAGATAAAGCCCATTTTAGAGGATGATTATAGGGATACTCTTATAGGTAAAACTGCCTCACAAAGGATCTAGCTTAACGTGGAAATTCAGCGAGTTTATCCCAACAGAGTCACAAATGTAGAAAAAGGAGAAAGAATGTTCCTCAGCAAAGTAATTTGTTTAGATGTTCACTAATTCTGGAATTCCATCATAGCTACAACGCCAAAGCGACGACATTGGCTCTGCCAGGCAAAGGAAACACAATTGGAAGCTGCTCAGCCAGCCTTTTGCACACAGCATTCTGCTGCACTGCAAACCATCTGACTGGCTGTCCAGAAATACTGACCCTAACTCTTAAAAGACTAGCACTCACCAAAACCGTTTTGCACATTAAGGTCAGAAATGCTACCAGATACCATCTATTTGTTTTCAGCTCTCCAATAACAATTATTTTATGGTTTATAAAGCACAGCCACACCCAATCTCTTACTCAATTCTCACAGCACACCTGGGTATAGTTCATAGCATCAGTCTGTAGGAAATGTGTCCTCACGTTACAGATGAGGAAACTAATAAACAGTAACTGAATCAAGCATTATGATAATAACTGCAGCAGTTAACATTGCGTATTTTAATATTAATTATTGCACTTATTAAATAATGTATTAATAATGCAAATATATTAAAACTTACATTCATTAATAATAGTCACTATTAATATTTTCTATCATCAATCTCATTTAATGGTGATTTACTATGTATCAACCACTCTAAGTGACTTAAACTTTTAATTTTTATTTTTTAAAAACACTTTGTAATAAATATTATTATCCCTATTTTACCAGGAAGAAAACAAACTTAGAGAGCTTAAATAACTACCTAAAATATTACAGCTTTTAAGCAGTGGAGAGAGAACTTCAACCCACATCTGTTTAGTTTAAAAATGTTAAGCTATATTGCCTCTCCTAATATGCTTCCAAGTGATGCTCAGATACAGTGGCCAGCAGAATCTTTCATTACAGGGGCTTTCATGGAAATAAAGTACTTTCGGAAAGATATATGTAATTTAATAGATCACATAAACTTTCCCTACATTTAATTAAGGAGCTAAGCCATCTGTAACATTTTCTGCCATTTCTACACTTGGGTTGATAGGCTAGGCACTGAAGGAGGCCATGTTGCTTTGCCTGGTGAGGCCATGTCGGTCAGGACACCATGGCTTGGCTGGCCAGGCTCTGGCCATGAACCAGGCTAACTGAGAGGCCAGCAGGTCAATATCAGGAGTGACAGCAAACAAAAATATTTCTAGAGAGTAAGAACTAAATGTACAAATCACTAAGTACAATTTAACTTAACCTCTCTCAACTTTATTACACAAGGCATCATACAGTCTCATATTTATTTTGAATGCCTCTCTAATCTTCCCTTTACAGTTGCAAAGAGAAAATTCTGGGTTGTGTTTTTAACCTGCTTCATTTGTTCAGTCCTCGCACCCCTCCCACACACTCTCTGGGTGGCTCCACTTCATTTTAAATCCCCACCTGCAAAGCTTCATCCACAGCTGTGTTTGTGGGGGAGCACTAGGGACAAGAGGTGACTGTAGAGACAGAGCATTTCAGTAGCACTGTCATACTACAATAGACCACTCAATGTGATTTCTTTAATTCCGGAGGAATGGCCGTCACAGACATTAGATGGTGTATACCAACTGCTGAAATACAATGCTTTTCCTTAGAAATTTAATGTTGTCCCTAGGAATATAAAGTCTTTCAATTTGCCTAGCAAATATGCAATCTTGCAAATATAGCTTTCCAAAATTAATTCCAAAATGGTGTGCTTTCAAAGCAACAGCTGAATAGTAAGCTGCCCAAGATTCTTAAAGATTTAAAGTGATATGATATTATGAGTATATTTATTATTTTGGCACAGGTAACAATTAAAAAATTAAATGAAATTTAATAAAAGGGCTCTAATAAAAAAGAAAAAGGAGAGAAAAAATAAATGCTGCCAAATAACCCAGAAAAATAGCTCTGAAACTCTACCCTTTTTTGTTATATGCTTATTCACACTTTTCCCTCTGACCTCCTTTCTCTTGAACCTTAAATTCTCTTCTGTGTATTCTAAATTCTACCTACCCTTTTAGGCTCAATTCGGTCCTCACCTCTTCAGGGAGGTCTTCTTTTCACCATCTGCTGGCCCACATAAATCTTTCCTTCACCTGAGTGCCTGCAATTGAAAATATGGTTATTACATACAATTTAACACTTACTTAAATATCCTCTAGGTGACTAGCATCTGATAATTTTAACCCTCAAACAAAACATAAGCATCTTGAAGTTATGGCTGATAGTTATTATTAACATAAACAATCACAACAAAACCAGCAGTTACTATTTATGGAGAACTTATTAGGTACCAGGCACATATAAAACATCACTGAGTCATCACAACAATCCTGTAAGGTAAATACTATTATATCCTCATTAAATACACGAGGAAACCAAATTATAGGTAGAAGATCATTTAGTTAGAAGAAGACAGAGCTGGAATTTAAAGTTACTGCCTAATCCTGCCACTCCTTAGCCCTAGAGAGCAAGTAGGCCAGTGTGTTACAGAAAATATTATCTCGTGATGAGGTTACTAAGTGTCTTTACTAAAGCCAGACAACTTCTACTGGAAAAGGTGGAAAATTCCCAAAATGCTGGATTATGGATGAGGTTGAATTCGTAAGAACAATAAGCAACAGTTATAATTTCTTCTTTATTTTGGAAAAATTCCAAAAGCCCAAATTTCCCCAGAAGGTCACTTAACAGATGCATACTCACCATTATGTGTATCTAAACTTACTCAATGGCACATAAGAAAGCAACCACTTGTCCTTCGGGTGAAGGTTAGATTCCCCAGAAGATAAAAAACTGAAGGAAAGAATGACAATGTCTTATAAAGCATAGTTAGAAGAGGTCTCAAAATTTTTTTTTCAGAAGGACCACACTTAGCTACAAAGAGGAAATAGAGAGCTAGAAATACCCAACTATACAAAACACAAAATGGAAACCCAGAGAGAATAATAAACAGACGCAGAAGGCCAAGTGACAAGACCCTAACCTGACCTGAAATGGACTAAGGGTGCTACTGGCCATGAAAGCCTTTACTGACCCACCCCCAACCTTCCCCCTACATTCCTGGGTAGCCCCTTCTTCTGGGAACAAAATGCCTGGCAGCAACAGAAGCAGTGCAGCCAGGTCTGTGACAAAGACAAATTGCCTTTTCTCCACTGGGTGCCTGGTGCTGAATGGAATGTTGGCTGTAAATATTCTGAAGCCCCTTCTCCCTTTTCCTCTCTTAAAGCTTCTCCCCAACCTGCTAGCCCAGCATTCTCTCTTTTCCAAGGTGGCCCCTGCATCTTATCTTCTACCTCTATCCTGCACTTTCTTTCTTTTGCTACTTCCCTTCTCTGTCCTGTGGGGTTAGGGGAGGAGAGGGACAGACTAAGGAGATTTGAATCCCAGGACTCAGGGATTTAATTTCCAAAATGCTAATTCACACTTAGTGTTAAGTGCAGTGCTTGGGTCCTGTTCTGTTGATTCATACCAGAAGGTAATTTCTTTCTACCTTTTTAAGCCTGTTTCTTCTCATTTCTCCTTTCCGGAAGGACTTTAGTAGTGGTATTTATTTGATCTTTTCTTACTGTTTTCAAATTGGTTCTGTTTTCCTCCTACAGCCATTCTAAAACCAGGACCATAAAAATACAATACTTTTGCTAACAGTCTTTAAACATTATGATGGAGATCCATATTTTTTGACATGTAAAGATGATCACTTTAAAGTGAATAATTATTTTAAGGCATAAGCGCATAAAAAACAGTCATCAAAGAATATAATTATATAGAAAAACTAAAAGATCTGCTTTAAAGTGTTGAAAGTCTTGGTTGGTGGGAATTTGGCTGATTTTTTTTTCATTTTCCACATTTTCTTGACAAATAATTCTTAAGAAATATACATGCAAGCCTGATTGACCAAAAACAAGCAGAAAGGATGAAAAACAATGTAAACCTTTACTACCTTCGTGACAAGGAAAACTTTTTGAGAATTGGATGGGCAAGCAGGAAGCAAAGAAGAAGAATGCAGACACTTGTCTGACAGAAACAGCGACTGGAGAAAGCACGCAGATAAAAACTAGGGATGTTGTCATTGTCTGGAAAGCTTTGGGGAGAAGCAAATTACTATTTATTATTGCGAAGAGCTTTTTGGTCATAACAGCCTCTCCAGCCATACAAACTACTTCCTTGTAGCCTCATTAATCTGGGTTCTAAATAACTCACATAATCCAAAAAGGGGGAAAGGAAAAGTCGGGGCTGTAACCAGGACAGGGCTGAGATTTCTCTCCGCAAGGAGCACTGAGGTTCTCAGTGAGAAATGAATTGACTAAGAACTTCCAATTTGGATGTTAGCCCCGTGCGAGTGATAATAACCCCATCAAATTCTCAAGAGGAAACAGCTATAGAAATAAAAGGAAAACACCACAACAATGTTCAGAGCTGAAGAACACAAAAACACTGGGCTGAGCCTTACAAAATGGAACAATGGTCCAAGTAAACCCTAAACAGCGGGAGCGCCAGACCGTGAAATGGAGATACAATGCGTGCTGGAGTGGGACTGAAGACTCAAAAGCAGCTATTAATTCAAGCAAGATCAAAACAGAAATCAATCTATTCATGGGGCTTCCAAAAGATCATTAAAAACTAATTACTTTCTGTCTACCTCAATCCCTTTGTTGCTTGGCTGGTAAATTGTTCTTCTTCAGTCTCCGTCTAGATATGTGGAGGCTAGGCTGTGGAATAAAACAGGGTGTTCCGACTCAGATCACAGGGAGTCCAAGTGGCCCCATCCAAGTGCCCAGACACTAATTCGAGGTATTTCTAAGCATTATCACGGACTCTCCACTTACCAGGACAAAGCTTATATATGCAATCAAGTGATCTCTAATCACATAAAGTGATGTCATAGTTATTCCAACTGGAGTTGTTCCAATTAAAAAAAAAAGGATTGTGAAGAATATACTGAAATTTGTTAAACTTTTATACATAATTTTGAAAAAGAAAACAAACCTTTTTCTTCTAGGGCTATGGTCAGTGACTTAGCATGTTGGTAAATCAGTTCTATCGTTCAAAGAGAGGCTGCATGACAATAACAGAGACAATTCTTATTTCTTCTCCAAATCTGATGCAATTATCAAAAAATAAAACAAAAAGAAAAGAAAATCTTCTGCCACTCAAGCAAATTTATTCTGTCAAGTGACACTATCCAGACAAGTAATAGCTCAAAAATTTTTTTTTAACTTCTAACAATACTCATTTTAATTTGACTTCGGTAAATAATTTCATCTTCCTTTCAACCTAAAAATTTCCACTTATTTTTCTTCAAAATAAAACTCCTGATGTTTTTCTTGCCTGTGTGTGTGTGTGTGTGTGTGTGTGTGTGTGTGTGTCTTTTTTTTTTTTTCTGGGAGAAGATTCAACTAGCACTTAGTTGTTTCTCAGGAAGCTAAGGGGATTTCAATGACCCACAATTATATTTGTAAAAAAATAAATGCCAATAGTCAGGAAAACATTATTTTTTAGAATCCTGTTTGCACATGGACTTAGAAAATGACCAAGGATAAATTTGATATAATGTGATCTTGGCTATTAAGAAGTCCTCTTTCCTGAATGTGTATCTATTGTGTTTTTGTGGTAAAATACAATATATACAACATCAGTGTCTGAATTTTTACTTTTAAAGAGAATAGCTTATATTTCCTTAGTACTCCATAATTTTCAAAGTTTATTATATATTATTTTTTCATTTGATAGCAAGACAATTTCTCTAAGGCAGATCTTTCATATGGGAGCTTACTTCTTCCCACTGTACAGTTAAGAAAACAGGATCAGAACATTTATAGAAACTACCAAAGTCATATCATTTGTGAGAAATAGAGCCTGGAACAGAATAGTCTCCTGTTAATGCAAGTATTCAGGAAAAAAGGAATTAATAGATATTGAGAGTCTTCTGTGTGTCCAACAACTTGTTGGTGCTTTACATTTCATTTTTGCTTTACAACAGCTCTGTGAGATAGGTAATTACTATTTCTACGGATGTGTTTACCAAAATTCAGAAATTGTGAGTGCCTTCGTCAAAGGTACCCAGCTGAAAATATGGCAGAGTTAGAATTCCAATTTGGGTTTCTGATATATAATCCATGTTCTTTCCATTATTTTTGATGCCAATTCCACCTACAAATTGGAAGTTACAGCCTTTGTTACACAAAATTTAAATTTAATTGCTTAGAAAACGCCACTCACTTTAAAATAAAATCAATAATATTGATGTTCAGAAATCATAATTTAATACAAGTATAATCAAAACTGAATGTCAACAGAGCAACTGCAATACACTGTGTTTCTGCCCTCTCTTTATAAGGATATGTATCAAGGATTTGGCACGGTTGAGCTGAAAAATACGCTCCTTACTCTATAAAGCAATGCAAGCATGATTTTCTTAACAACCATCCAGCCTCTCCTTTCTCCAATATACTATCTCTTCCCACTGAAAATCACCTATCTATTTTTTTTCCAGGGGTAGAGAGTTAGATGAGATATAGAAATTTCCACATCACAAAAGTTCAGAGATCCCAACCAATAAAATTTAGATTTATTACTAAGTGATACAGTTTAACTTTCTTGAGGAGAATAATGCAAGGAAATATAAAAAACTTTTAATCTCATAATCTTGTATCTTTGATCCGAAATTTTGAGTCAGAAGACAAATGGTTCTGCTAGGAGAATTGGAGGCTCTTTCCCTGGTAGTGTTTAACAGAGAAAGGAATACTCAAATTCACAAGGAAATAGAGATAGAAAGAGTCTTAGAATAAGGAAGTTTAAGGCAATGCTATGAGAAAGAAAAAGTTATTTAATTAACTAGACTGGATTTCACTTAGGCTCAGACACTTACCTTGTTAAGAAGCTCAAAAATAAAGGGCAGAACGAAGCAAACATTGCTAAAGAGAGAATGTTGAACTGATACTGAATATAATCTCCTTTTCCAAAAGAATTTTAGTTCACTATGTGTCCCGAACCTAACAGAACACGTAGTTTAGCTTCTTGACCTCGTCTCCTGACCTTATTTATCTTCTAACATCACCTTTACTGTCCTTCCAGGCTTAGAGTGGAGAAATCTCTCTCCATGCC